TTTTGGTTGCAGCCATCATTGTTGTTTGGCGGGCCTGGGCTGGGGATTCGAACCGGCCACCTTGGGTGTACATGGCTGGCGCTTTAGCCACTTGAGCCACAGGCGCCGAGCCTGCTCACAGATTCTTTATCTTCATCTATTCCAAAGTTGAGATGGGCAGACTCACCAATGAGCAGCCACTGGCTTGGGAGGGCCACGCTGCCCGAGGGGTATCTGACAGCAGTGCTGGGTGAGCCCTCTCGCTCCCCTGAGACCTGCAGAGTCACCTCTTCCGTGGTGGGGCCATCTGTGGGAGCCAGGGTCAGTCCACGAGGCTGCGAAAGAAGATGGAGAACCAGGACTGGGGGACGCTCTTCACCTGTGTCATCCCCTCTCCAGCCCACTCAGAGGTCCCCTCTCACCACTAAGGCCACCCCTGTGTGGACCAGGGCTTTAGAGACATAGAAGCCGGCTTCTTCCTTCCCCACATAAAGTGTCATCCTAGAAAAAGCAGAGAAGGGTGAACCATGGTGGGGGGAAAAGTTTCAGTTACTGCTGTACTTTTGCCCTCTAGAGACCTCACTCACATTGACTCTGGGCTTAGCCATGAGATTTGCTTTAACTAATTAGACAGTAGCTAAAATGACACAAGTAGAAGCTTGAAAAGTGCTTGTGCATGGAGGCTTACCCTTTGGAATTGTTTTCTGGGACCCTGAGATCGGGATGGGAGGAAACCTAGGCTAGCCCACTGGGGCATGAGAGACCTTATGGAGTAGAAATGAACCATTCTATTCAATGCCCCCAGGCTGGATAGTCTGCCAACTATGATTTAGGCCAGTGAGGCCATCCTAGATTGTCCAGGCTCAACCAAAGTCACCAGCTGACTGCAGAGACCAGAGAAACCACCCAGCTGACCCACAGAATCTGTAAAAGTGATAAATGTTTGTTGTTTTTAAGCTCTAAGTTTGGGGGTGGTTTGTTATGCATCAAAAACTGATACAAACTCTATAGTCATGATTTCCATCTGAATCTATGTGTAACCCAGACCTCTTTCAAGAGCTCAGTTTTCTAAATATGATCTCATCTCCTCATGTGCCACCTCCTTCTCCTGTTCCTCCCCCTCCTCCTCTAGTTCTCCCTACCTCTGAAAGTGACAGCACCCATATGCTTCTAGAAAGTTGAGCATGACCCTTGCCCTCTTACTCATAATCACTAAACTCCCTAATCACCAAATTATTTTTTTTGACACAGACTCTTACTTTGACACCCTCAGTAGAGTGCACTGGCATCATAGCTCACAGCAACCTCAAACTCTTGGGCTCAGGCTATTCTCTTACCTCAGCCTCCCTGGTAGTTGGGACTATAGGCACCCACCACAACACCTGGCTATTTTTTAGAGGTAGGGTCTTGCTCTTGCCTGGGCTGGTCTTGAACTCCTGAGAGTTCAAATCACTGGCCTCGGCCTCCCAGAGTGCTGGGATTACAGGTAAAAGCCACCACGCCCAGCCTCTAATCACCAAATTCTTACTGGTTTTTCCTTTTAATATCTCTTACCCTCCACTTATTTCCAACTCTGGGGTTTTTACTCTAGTACAAAGTATCACATTTCTTGCCTGTTACCATTCTGAGATATCCTTCACACTGCAGCCAGAGTTGTCTTTTTCTGAAATGAAAACATGATCAAATCACTTCCTTACCTAAAACCCTCCAGCGTCTTCTCCTTACCGTTAGTAGAAAATGCCCAAACCCTTTGATGAATCTAAAAGATTCCTGTTTAACTAACAGCCTGAGACCTTACTCCTTGCCCAGACAGATCTGTGTTCCAGTCTTACTTCATTTCTTTCTCTTCCATGAATTCCATGCTCTCTCTTCTCTCCTGTTTTCCTTTCATCCTTTAGGTTTCAAGTTAGATAGCCCTTCTTCCAGGAGGCTTTCCAGGACTGCTTCCTGCCCCCCCATCTCAATTCAGAAACCCCGCTATACACTCCCACGGCACCTTGTACATCTCTCATCTCATCCTGCATCTCCCAATGCTATAATTGCCTCTTTACATATCCAGCTCTCCTACTAGACTCAGATTCCTGTAGGCAGGAACAAGGGCTGGGTTATTTACTGTTGTGTTCCTGGACCCTAGCAAGAGACCGGCACACAGTCAGTGCTCAGTTAATGTTTGTGGGATGCATTGAATGAATAGACAATTCCTGGCTCAGCGCCTGTGGCTCAAGCGGCTAAGGCGTCAGCCACATACACTTAAGGTGGAGGGTTCGAATCCCCAGCCCAGGCCTGCCAAACAACGATGGCTGCAACCAAAAAAAAAAAAAAAAAAAAAAAAGGGCAGGCATTGTGGCGGGCGCCTATAGTCCCAGCTACTTGGTAGGCTGAGGCAGGAGACTCGCTTGAGCCCAGGAGTTGGAGGTTGCTGTGAGCTGTGATGCCATGGCACTCTACTCAAGGGGACAGCTTGAGGCTCTGTCTCAAAAAAAAAAAAAAGAATAGACAATTCCTGATTTTCCCAATCTGTCTACTGGTTCCTAAAAATGGGGACGCTAAGGCAATAAGTGTATAGGGTGGTATTTAGTGATAATTAAGGCACAACAATCAGAATAGGCTGAGACCTGGATTTCCATCTCCCAGGACAGATTTTACTAGTCAGTCGCTGAACAGTAGGGTTCTTTGGGGGGTCCTGGGAACACTTATGGGACAGAGCAGGGCACTGGTTATTTACCATCCAGTTTGGTAAGTAACCAGCTTGATGTATTTTGACACCTGATGTGACTGTACTGGTGTGTCATGGCTGAAAACTATGCCTGGCCATTGGGCCCAGACAGCAGCACCCCCAGCAGTCTCCCTCCCCAGGTCCCAGGCAGGAACACCTACAGCAGCTGGGTGTCCAAGGACGAGAAGACAGTGGCTGTGTCCTGGGGACCTGAGGCAGGCAGTCGGATGTGGCCCCAGCGGAGGGCAAGGAAATGCAGGGTGTCTCGAGCCAGTGTGAGATGGGGTAGCTGGCGCAGGCTACCCTGGTGCCAGGTGTAGATGGCCACCACGGGCATGCCCAAGTCCTGTGTCCATAGCACTGTCCCACTTCCTGAGTCCACAGTTAGCAGCAGGCCCATCCCACAGGATGCCAGGTGACTCATGTCTGCCAAGAAAGGTGGCTGGGGAGAGGTGCCATTCAGGGTTCCCTGAATTGGGGCCCTTGCTCCAAGGTGGGTCTGGAGAATGGTGGCACTCACATTTCCCAGGCGAGCTGTCCATGCGGGGTGCTGAGTAGCGGTGGTAGGTGGTGTTCCAGCGCAGGGCCGGGGTCTTTGGGTCGTGCATGGTGACCATATACTCTGGGGGCCCCAGAAGCAAGATTATCAGAAACACCCACATTATTCTCCACCCTCTACCCCAGGGACCATGCATCTGGTGGGGGTGGGAGTTCCTGAGCACACAGTCTAGAGGCCCAGAAGTCTATGAGCATCTCAGTGGCAGAGACCAAGGCTGTCTTGTTTACTGCTGTATCCCTAGCTCCTTGTTCAGTGCTCAGTAGAATGTTTGTTGATGACTGACAGATTGACTGGCCTGGATTCAACCTGGATAGCAATGGCTAGGCCTGAGCAGAGCAAAAAGGGCGGCTTCCCAGGGCAGTTGGTTCTGACTCACGTGTTCGGCCAATGTAGAGGCGAGGGGTAGAGGGACCTTCTGTGGTCAGTGTCATCTGGGTCTCTCCTGACTCAGGGTCCACCACAAACCAGGCATCCTGCTTCCGGCCTGTGGAGGTGGACCGTGTGTTCACTTTTAAGACAGCATGGGAGGGGGTATGGGTCCTGTGCCCAGCTGGCCCTTCATGACCTAGGTCCCTGTCCCTGCTGGCTGGACCTGCACCCCACAGCCCGGTGAGACTCTCACCTGTGTAGAAGACCCCATCAGAGCTGCGGCAGGGAGAGGCATGAACCAACTCAGGGATGGTGAATGGAAGTTTCTAGGAGAGGGAAAAGGAAGGGCTAAAGACAGAAACACATACAGAGCACTTACTGCGCCAGGTGGACCCATCTCCATAGAAACCAATGAACTAGGTATTATTATCAATTCTACCTTCCAGGTGAGGAAATGGAGGATCAGAGAGGCCAAGTAACTTGGCCAATGTCACTCAGCCAGGAAATAGCAGAGCCAGGCCTTGACCTCATCCACTAGGTTCTACAGCCAGCACACTTAGCCACTTTGCTACAAAGAGTCTTGAACTGAAGAAAATTGCACACCCAATGCTAAGATGACACACAATCCACTTGATCCTGGCCTGACAACCTCCTCAGAAACTCACATGAAACTGTCATGCTGTTACGCACAATTCAGGCTGAGGAGCTGTTCCAGCATGAAGGAGTCCCAGTTCAGGCTGAGTGGAGACCCACCCTCCACCCTTCTTTACCCTGCTCTCTCCTGGAGTAAGACTCATCTGGACTATGAGTGCCCTGTGCTCTCTCTGGCTTTCTGCTGGGTTTGGATAATGGGGACAGAGTAAGATCAGGGAGTCTATGATGTGGTTTCTCTCCGTGGAGTCATGATGGACCCATAGTATCTCTCCACCAAAGGCCTCAGGTCCCGTCAGGTGGTTCTTACTATAGCTCCCTCCATCTGTAGGCTGTGGTAGCTGTTTTCTCCTCTACCCCCAGGGTTAGAGCTGACAACAGCACCCCGCTATTATGATTTATAGAATACTTATCCCTTATGGCTTCCTACACTCTGCCCACACCTTGTAAGCAATCCCTTTAATGAAATGTCCTCAAACTATCCTATTGGAGTCGGCCATGGGTTTGCAGCTGGGACCTTGCCTATTAACACACTAAAATTTCGTATTAATTCAGCTTCCTAAATCACAAACCTTTCTGGCAGGCTTCCCCTGGCATGGGCAGAGTTCTGACAAAACACATTTCACCTTATGTTCTGTAATAAATCCAGAGTCATGTCCAATAGCCTTCATCTGACTTTTGATGGGGAAAAATGGCCACAGATTCCTCCTCTCCTTGTATGTGTGGCTTTTGCAAGGTAACTTTTCAGCTCCTCTCGTAAAGAGGTGGAGTCTTTTCTTCACAACTGAACTCTGGGCTTGCCTGTGTGACCTGCTTGGCTGGCAAGCAAATGTGATAGAAGAAGCTTGAGATGAGTGTGTTGGGCTTGCCTGCTCTTGGTGCTTTGGGGTCCCTTGTTAACACCATGTGAAAAAGCCAAGATTTGGTGTCCAGGGGATGAGATACACATGGTCAATAGTCACTGTCAAAAGCCAGCCAGTTAACAGACTAACTCCCAGCAACAGAGCTATCCAGCTGACCAACCGTTGAACACAGATGCACAAGCAAGCTGAATCAAGAGCAGCAGAAAAATCACCCAGCTGATCCTAGCCTATATTGTCATCCCACCAAATTTTGAATAAATTGTTTGGTCATTCAGTCCTTGAGTTTTGGGGTGATTTGTTATTTAGTAAAAGCTAATTGATACAAACATTTCTCCCTTAAATCCTCAGAGTCCTGGAAAAGCTCTTGGGATACCTTCACAAAGGCCTGACCGCTTGCTCTGCAGACACAACCAGAGCTTCTCCCACGCCGCCCTTTCAACAGCTCCCTTACACAGCCTTTTCATATTGTACTCAGAGACCTGATTTACAGCCTCTGTAGAACACCAGATTGTGACCACACTCCATCCCCTCCACCCCCCATCCTCCAGGTGATAGAAGCCTTGGCTCTCACTTATCCCCAAGCACTGTAGGAAACACACCATTAATCCCTGTTGTTTCTGGGTCCCCAAGATGTACAGGCTGCCATCAGCTGGGTCTGAGAGAAAGGCTGTTCTGTGGAGCAGAAAGGGAACAGAAAGAAGGTTGGGTGCATGTGCTCTTTTCATGAAGGCCCCCATTCCCTCTGACCTCTCAGGTAGTAGGAGCCTGTCCTTGTAAGAGACACTTTGAAGCTCCAAGATCCTCCCCATATCACACCCAGAGCCGATTCTCTCCCCTTACTTCCAACATACCTTCCCAACAAATAAAAACTCTAGACAACTACGGCTCCCCTGTTTCCCAGCTACCCTTCCTTAAAAGGTCCCAGGTTCACTTACTCGGTGACATACATTGGTCCTTGGATGATGGGATCTGCAGGGACAGAGACACGGAGCATGAGGAGCCCACCCTGCCCAAGATTTCATTGAAAAGCTTAGCTCATATTCACTTGGTGACATGAATGTAAGGCCACCTTCCCAAGAACTCTGTGAGGTAGGGTCATCATTCTTTCCAGATCGAGCATGGAGGCTCAGAGAGACGAAGTGACTTTCTTAAGGCTGCACAGCTGACAGATGGTGTGGTGACACTGGTTGACTGGATTCCAGACCCCATGTTCTTCTCTATGCCATGTTGAATCTCCTACCCAACCAAACTAGGGGCCCAAGGAGGGAGGAGTGACTGCTTGCTCACCATCCTTCAGCGTCCACTGCAAGTCCCCTGTCTGCTTGCTCAATGCATGGAGACTTCCATCCAATGTGGATACCAGCAAGAGGCTCTCTGGCCTGAGGGTCTGGACCTATAGGGGGAAATAAAGCCAGGTGTCTGAGAGGTCTGGGACCACCCTCTGCCCCTACCCTAGGCAAGGCTGTCTGTGACTCCCCTTCCCCCAGAGGGGGACAGAGAAGGGGAAAAAGGGTGTTGGAGGAGCTGTTGGCTTTACTCATCATCTCCCTGGCCCAAGAGAGGGGATATAGTGGGAGCTGAGGAGGGCGAGGCTCTAGGGGGAGGATTTGGCTTTCACTGTGTCCAAATCCCACTTCTTTCCCTCTTCTCTTGACTCACTCTGGCTTTCCAAAGAAGACTGGGAAGGGCTTTACAAAACTACTTCATTGACCCTCATAGCCTCCCTAGGAAATTGGTATGATTAGTTTCCCCATTGTGTAGGCTCAGGAAGGTTAGGCAATTAACTTAAAACCACACAGATAATAAAAGACAAAACTGGGACTTGACCTGCCATCTCTGTGATTCCAATGCTTGGTCTCTTTCTCCTATGCCACATTGTCTGCCCCCTTTGGGACATCCAATTCTGCCTCCCAAAACTGGCCCAGCGGCTGTTGGTGCCAGGCTCTAGCAGGCCCCCTGAACCCAGGCTGAGGGGAGGCTACAGGAGGTCCTGGAGCTACCCTTGCATCTGGCCCTACCAGGCTAATTCACCCACTCCAGCCCCTCCTTAAGCAAACAGGGTGAGGCTGAGCTCCCAGCAGGAACCCTGACATCCGGGTGGCCCAGCCACACCCCTGTAGAGGCCACATCCTGCTCCAGGACCCTCAGGTCCAGGGCTGAGCCACCAGTGTCTGGTGGAGGGGCAGGAAACTGCCTCCAAGCCTCTCTTTTCTGGACCTCAATTTTGTCATCTGCAATGTGGAGAGGGGCATAGGGGAAGAATGGTTTATGGAAGAAGTAGGAAACTGAATTTTGTTTAATCATTGCAATGTTTCAGAATTTTGTTTTTAATTAGCTGCCAATATTTTAAAAATTGGAGGATTTCACTTTAAAAAATCCAGATTTCTAATTTTTCTTATTCCTATTTTTTCTGGAGACATCTGATCTGGCTATACTGGGCTCACATTCTGTCTTTGCAACCATGGAAGGGACCCAGAACTGGAAGCGGGGCTGGGGCTGGTATCTAACTCTTCCAGGGCCCTTTCACCCTATGGGGACTTCAGGCTGGACACCTGGCTTCTAGACTGGACGACTTTTATCTTTCAGCTACATTTCTGTAAGTTTGTTCTCTCTTCTGATCCCAGCTGGGTTGGACCAGACCCCACCCCACATTTATTCCAGAGGTTCTGAATCTAGGATCCAGTCGTGGGCAAGGGAAACCCTGTTATGAAGCATCTGAAATGGTAGAACTCGGTGTGCAGGTGCATTTCTCAACAGGGGGCCCTTAAGTTGATGGTATTTTCAAAGGAAGCCCGGATCCTCAGAAGTTTCAAAAGTTCTGGCCTGGGCTGTCCCCTTCTCCCAGACCATGCCCTCCCTGCAAAGAAGCGGGGTGCTGGGTCTCCCTTCGCTTCTCTACGCAGGCTGATCTCCCTGGCTTAGCGTTTGTAGGGGCAACTCCCCGAAGCTAGGAGGTTTTCATTCTTTAGCGGCGACTTGGGGCGCCCCCCGCCCGAGGGGGTGAGAGGTGCTCCACGCCACTCGGTCCCGCTGCGCCCCGTCTCCCATTGCGCCCTGCAAAAGCGACTTTGGAGATTCCGCGCCAGTCCCGGCTCTCACCTGTGGCCCGAGTGTCCGGAGCAGCACTGCGAGCTGGAGCAAGAACCCCGACCCCTGGGCCGAGCTCGCCATAGCGCCTGGGGCAGCCGCACCTCTGGGCTGGCAGGTCCCTCAGTCATCCAGGTACGGAGGGCCCCCGCCCCACCGGGAGGAGGCTCCGCCCGGCGGCCCCGCGGAGACGCAGAGGCTTGGGCGCAACCTCAGCCTGGAGTCCCCCGGCCCCCACCCTCCCAGCACGCTCACCCGCATCCTCCACCCAGTCACCCCGCAGGGATGGCGCGGCGCTCTCCTGGGACGAGGATTTTACTAACGGAGGCCTTTTGTGGAGAACTTGCCACGTGCCAGTGCGGTGCCAACTCTCGGCAGCTCCCCAAAGTACCGCCCATGTAAACGCCGAGGCTGAGACTGGGATCGAAATTCAGATCTGTTTGACTTCAAAGCTTGTGCTCTTCATCACTGCACGGTGGGAAATATAGATTAATGGATGGGTCCAGTCATTCAGTCAATATCAGCTAGGATCTGGTTTACATCACGTGGTGAACAAGAGCGCTGAGGCCCCTGTACAGATCCCTGTGCTTTAAGTATCAGACACTACCTGATGAATGAGTAAGTTTTGGCTTATTCATTTCTCCTTCTCCTTGTGTAAGAAATCCCTGCTGATTTGCGGGTTGCACAGCCCTACTCTGCCACCTTTTCCCCTCTTCTTTGTCATCCTTGGTCTGACTGGTCACCTCCCCACTGAAGACTTGGCAGTGGACCCTAGCCTTCATCTCCACCCCAAGTCCTGCCATCACCGTGTCCAGACAGCATGCCAGTCTCTCAGTTCAGCGGCTACACCTCTCTAGAGACCTTGTCCTCCTCACCCCCACCAGATGGCCGGGTGCTGGACCTTGTCACACTCTGAATCCCTTTGCCTCCAACATCGTTCCTCTGACTACAGCCTCCTCTCCTTATAGCGCTTTCCTCCCCTGCTTCTGACCTACACGATGCCTTAACCCCTCGTTTCTCTCTTCCAGTCTCTCAGCCCCTTCCTGCTCTGTATCCAGCTTGGACCTCCTCACAGGCCAGTCCATGTGAACACCACCAGTGTCCCAGGCTGGTTCTCCTAGAAGCAGAGCCCAAAGTAGGGAATTTTCTGAAAGTAATTTCACGTTCAGAAATGCTAGGTTTTCTACAACCCCAGTTGGTTAGGTGTGAGTGACACTAGGTTGCAACAGACCCTTCGCCTTATAGTGGATGCAACTCTGTGGCATAATCAATGGTGCAGAGGTTGAAGCCAGTCTCCAGCCCAGACCTTTCTTCACTTTGCTTCTTCTTTTCTTTTCTTTTTTCTTTCTTTTTTTTTTTTTTGGTAGAGACAGAGTCTCACTTTATTGCCTCAGTAGAGTGCTGTGGCGTCACACAGCTCACAGCAACCTCCAACTCCTGGGCTCAGGCGACTCTCCTCCCTCAGCCTCCCGAGCAGCTGGGACCACAGGTGCCCGCCACAATGCCAGGCTATTTTTTTGTTGCAGTTCGGCTGGGCCCGGGTTTGAACCTGCCACCCTTGGTACATGGGGCCGGTGCCCTACTCACTGAGCCACAGGCTCCACTCTTCACTCTGCTTCTTTTTCTGCCTCAACTCACTTCTCTCCCTCCCCTCTCAGAGACCACTTCCCAACATACCACTGGAACAAGAATCCCCATCTCAGGCTCTGCTCTGTCCTACCTAAGACATCTCCTAATCCAGTTTCCATCAAATGTAGCCACAGAAAACCCAGCCGCCTCAAGAAACAAAAACTTCTTTTGGAAGTATGTATATCATGAAGTCTTAGGTTTACCTGGTTGCTCGCTTGTTGGTTTGTACACCACTCAAACTGGCAAAGCAGTCCTAACTTTATAACAAGAGCCATTGCTCGCTCCTTTGGAGACTAAGCCAAGCTACTGAGTGTACAAATGAACCCCCCTGTATGCTTCATATCTCGTAAACTGTCCCTTTGTTTTGGAATGTCCCTTGTGTGGTATTCACTACGCTCGAATGCATAGTCATTCCTCAAGCAATAAATTGGACTTGCATAGAACGCAAACTACAGATGAACTGACATTTTGCACGTGTGTATGATGATAAAAGTGACATACATTCTAGAAATTTTGTAAAATTCAGAAAAATATAAATCAGAAAGAAAGTCATTCACACTTCCATCTTCTGAAAGCAGCGCACCTCTGTTAACATTTTGTCACATCTCCTCCAGTGTTTTCTTCTCCCCCCTCCCACGCCTACATGTCTGGCAGGAGCCCGTGATGAAATATTAACGTGCTTTCCCCGCCACAGCTTCTTTTTCCCCTGACAGCTCGCATCCTGTTCAAGAGAGTCTGCTCTGAATTTATTGCCTCAGCAAAGGGATGACGAGGAAGCAAAAACTGAAAATGAAGTTTCTTGCAGCTTCTGAATTTTAAAAGAACTCAGGGTTATAAACCTAGATTTGAGATGATAAATAATAAGACTGAGAAAGATCCCCAGACTGGGAGAGGAAGGAAGATAAAGCGAAACAAGGAGAAGATGCTGGAAGTCTCTAAGAAAGGGAAACCCACATGGGAACCGCCCACATAGGTCTGTGGGACTCAAGAGCGGAGGGAATCTGCACCCGGTTTCCTGGGTAGAGCCTGGGAAAGCGGTGAGACCCCAGAGGAGGAGCTGCGTGGTCCCTCCAGGCAGGGCTGGTGTCAGGTTCCCACTGTCCAGTGCGATATGGAGGTGGGCAGAGGTCCACACGTGCCTGAGAGCCTGGAGGGGAAACAGAGAGAGACAGAGATAGAGACAGACAGCAAGAGAGAAGGAAAGAGAACATGAGTGCCCCAAATATATATACAGAGAGAGAGAGAGAGAGAGAGAGAGAACGTGTGCTGAAAATGGAGGGAGAAAACATGCTGAAAACAGAGATAGATCCAGAACAGGGAGAGAGAGAGAGAGAGAGAGAGAGAGAGAGAGGTATGAGTGCTTAAAATAGACAGAGGGAAAGAGAACACATGCTCAAAACAGAGCCGGGTGTGGTGGCGCATGCCTGTAATCCTCCCATTCTGGGAGGCCAAGGCAGGTGAATGCCTTGAGTTAGGAGTTTGAGACCGGCTTGAGCAAGAGAAACGCTGTCTCTCCTAAAAACAGAAAAACTAGCTGGGCGTTGCAGTGGGTGCCTGGAATCCCAACTACTTGGGAAGCTGAAGTAAGAGAACAGTTTGAGCACAAGAGTTTGAGGTTGCTGTGAGCTACTAGGCACTCTCCCAGAGTGAGACTGTCTCAAAAAAAAAAAAAAAAAGACAAAGCAAAGATAGAGCTGGAGACAGAGATAGTGACAGAGAGGAGATGTGAGTGCTTAACATAGAGAAAGAGAAAGAGAGAAAAAGAAAACATGTATGCTCAAAACAGAGAGAGCGGGAGAGAGAGGGAGAGAAAAGACATGTTCAAAACAAGGTGGCTGTGCGCGGTGGCTCACGCCTGTAATCCTAGCACTCTGGGGGGCTGAGGCAGATGATTGCCTGAGCTTGAGACCAGGAGTTCGAGACTACCCTGAGCAAAAGCAAGACCCTGTCTGTACTAAAAATAGAAAAACTGAGGCAAGAGGATTGCTTGAGCCAAGAGTTGGAGGTTGCTGTGAGCTGTGACACCACAGCACTCTACCCAGGGCAACAGCTTGAGACTCTGTCTCAAAAAAAAAAAAAAACCAAACAAAAACCAAGAACAAACAAAGGTAAAGACAGAGACAATGATAGAGATAAGACAGAGAAAGAGAAAAAAGAGGGGGGTGGAGAGAGAACATGAGTGCTCAAAATATGTATGTGCTCAAAATATGTACTATATAAAGAGAAAAAAACATGTGTGTTCAAAATACAGATAGAGAGAAAGAGAGAGATGGAGAGAGAGAGAAAGAGAACATGGGTGCTCAAAATAGAGATAAGGGAGACACGTATAGAGAATCAGAGGAGAAAGAGGGACAGTGCAGCAGAGACCAGTGAGGACAAGAGCCAAGACCTGATGAGACCACGGGCATCTCAGAGAGTGCCAGCCGGGACAGATGGTGGCGAGTCCCAGTGCCCTCCTGCCTGCTGGGCACTAAGCAGGCTCCACGGAACTTCAACCTATCCTGGAGAAACACTGGGAGAAACCAGATGGGACTGCATTTCTTCCACCTGGCCCAAAAAGAGCTCAAAATAAAAGTTAAATTTTATAAAGTTTTATTAAATTTTATAAAGTTTATAGATTGTATAAAGTTATACAGAAATGAAATTCCATTACCTCCCCACACCTCAGAGTGTACTATTAAGTGCTTAGGGGTTCCTAGACAAGTTCACATGCCTCAATGGCTTTTCCCCATTCTAGGGACAGAATGGAGAAATAGAAATAGAAACAGGAAAAATATCCCAATCATAATAGCACTAAAAAGAAAATGCTGAGGATTAAATTTAACCAGAAAGGCACAGGACCTATATAAAGCAAACTATAAAATCTTATGAAGGACATAAAACAAAATGGGAACAAATGAAAAAATGTTGCCTGTGTGGGAAGACTTAATATAATTAAAATGTCAATTCTCTCTAAATTAAAATATAAGTATCATGAAATTCTTTAATTCTTTTTTTTTTTTTTGACACAGTCTCATTTTGTTGCCCTTGGTAGAGTGCCGTGGTGTCATAGCTCACAGCAGCCTCAAACTCTTGGGCTCAAGTGATCCTCTTGCCTCAGCCTCCCCAGTCGGTGGGACTATAGGCGCCCACCACAATGCCCAGCTAGTTTTTCTATTTTTAGTAAAGATGGGGTCTTGCTCTTCCTCAGGCTGGTCTTGAACTCCTGAGCTCAAGCAATCTACCTGTCTTGGCCTCCCAGAGTGTCAGGAATACAGTGCCCCTCCTTCCTGAAATTCTTTTTAAGCCAAGGTTTTTTAAATTGGTTAAAATAAATGTCAAATGCAAGATAAATACATGAAGATAGTCAAGGAAAGTGTGGAAATGAAGATGAATGGGAAGGGGGCTTTTGTTAACATATACTGGAAGATACTATAGAATAGTGATGTTCAACCTATGTGCCATCAGAGGATCTT